GGGGAAAAGAAAAGAAGAAGGGAAGCCCCACCGCCCACAAAAAGGGGGGTGCGCACCGCGGATGATGGTCTGGGCGGGGACATTCTCCTCGACGTAGGGCTTGGCCTCGCGGAGGAGCTCGCCAGCCACCAGGACCACGGAGGTGGTGCCGTCACCGACCTCGGCATCCTGGGACCGGGCGATGTCGACCAGGGTGCGGGCGGCGGGGTGAACAATGTCCAGGAGGCCCATGATGGTGGCACCATCGTTGGTGATGGTGACGGTGCCTGTGCCATGACGCGTGCAACACGCGGAGGAGGGGGAGGGGGGAGGAGGGGGGAGGATGCCGGGTGGTGAGAGGGGGAGGGGCGGGGCAAAGCAGGCGGCGGGTAAGTCGTGGCGCTTGGGGACCCCCCCCCAGCGAGCAGGGCAGGTGCAGGTGCAGGTGCAGGTGCAGGTGCAGGTGCAGGTGCAGGTACAGGGAGAGAAGCACATACCACGAGAGTCGACCATGAGCTTGTCCATGCCGCGCGGGCCGAGGGTGGTGCGAATGGTGTCGGTGATGGCCTGGCAGGCGTTGATGTTGGAAATGAGCTGGCCGCGACCCTGGGACTGGTCGGTGCCCTCCTTCAGGAGGATGATCTGCGGCTGCATGGGCAGCATCTTGGCGGCTGCGTCGCGAGCAGGGCCGGAAGGAGACGACGGGGAAGAGGGAAAGAGGGCGGGGGAGAGGGAGATATATATATATATGTAGGGAGAGGGGGGCCGGAGAAGGGGGAGGCAGTGGGTGTAAGGAGGGGGGCGAAGAGGGCGGCGAGGTGGGGGGGAGGATGGGGCAATTCAAGCGGGCATACGTTGAGGGGGGGGGGAAGAGGGGGGAAGGGGGAGAAGGTGGCCACAATCGATCCGATGTGTGGTGTCTGTGCCGGGACCCGGGGCACCAGACGCCCCGGGGGCTTCGCTGCCCTGGCTCATCAGAGGGCGGCCAGCGCGACACCCAAGCCGACGACCGGGACAAGCAGCGGCGCCGGGAGGGAGGGCGGTCGTAACAAGTACAACACGGCCGGCTCGAGATCGGGGGCCCCGCCCGCCCCCGTGCGAGTCCTGCCTCCGGGGCGGGAGGCTGCCAGCGTGCCGGTGCGATGGCGCAGGGCGCCCCCGTCCAGAGAGGGCGGGGCGCACACAGGCACACACAGCGACACACAGGGCGAGGCAACGAGGGGGAGGAACCTGGGCTGACGCGTGTGCATGGGCGCAAGTGCGCCGTGCATGATGTGTATGCGTGTGTGTGTGTGTCGGTCGCGGCGCCGCGGCGGGTGCTGCCGGCAGGGGAAACCCTATTTTTGGCCGTGCACCCGGCGGCTGGAGCACCCACCGCACACCGGCCCGGACCGCCGCCGGCCTCCTTCTCTCTAGCTCCCCCCGGCACTGGCGAATGCGCACGCCCCAAGGCGCCGACGCGGCCGGCGGATGCACGCACCCAACGCGCCGCACACACACACACACACATGCGTTTGGATGTGTGCGCCCGGGGCCCGGGGGGGAGGATGCATGGGCAGGCACGCTGTCTCGCCCGTGGCCCCGGCCGCCGGCGATGGTCCCACAGGCCGGAGGCCCCCGCTCCACTGTGGAATGCGGCTGCCGGCCACGATGCCCGGAGCGGGGGCGCCAGCAGGGCGCCGCAGCATCCCCCCCCCCCCCCACCCTCGGCCGTGGAAGGGGGGGGGGGGCGACTGTGGCATGCGTGTGCGGCGGGGATCACTGGCTGGGAGCCGGGAAAAGACATCACTCGGGCCCGGGCGACCGGCCGGCAGAGGCCGCGGAGCGCGACCGGCATGCCAGAGGCTGATAGGCCGCGCGAGGGAGAGACAGAGAGAGAGAGAGAGAGAGAGAGAGAGACCGAGGGCGAGGGAGATGGCGAGGCCACCTCCAAGTCGCCGCGGGGCGCGACGCGCGCGCTCACGCTCGCCAAGCGCCCCGCGCGTAGGGTTGAGGATAATCCGCCGGCCGGGACTGGGACAACACCGGGGCCCCGGGCCGGGCGCACCGGGCGCGGGGGGGGGGGGGCGGAATGCCCAGAGGGGAGAGGGAGCGGGGGGCCGAAGTATCGAGAAGAAACGGCGCGCCGAACTGTCTGGAACGCCGCGGCTCCGCCCCCGCGCAGCTAGACTCCACCGGGGCCGCCTGCCGGGCCCGGTCCCTGTTCATGTGCCTGGG